AACCTCAACTCAAATTATGTCAAAATGTAGCTGAAATCACCCACTTCTCGCTATAAATTAACATTTGTTTTCTTTAAATCGGCTTAGAATAAGTGGTTGAGAGATGATGAAATAGGTAATAATTTTATAGCAGAAAACAGATGACCTGAGCTACATTTTGACGCAGTTTGAGTTGAAATTATTGTGAAAGTCGATCAAAATACTCGAAGGAAAAAGTGTTCATTCAAAGATACCTATAAAAAAAACATCTTTCGGCTTAATGTGTTCTATGCCGATCGATGACCTGGACATCGCTCTATCAAATGGTGAAAACCGCAGCTCTCTATATTGTTCCTATCAAAAGTTATTCAAAAAATGGCCACTCGCCTTTTGTTTTTTTCGGATAATAGGAACCTGAATTATCATGTGTTAAACTTGGCCGATACGAAATATAATGAATTCCATCGTTTGACTAAAATCTTAACAAGAGCTTTCAATAGCCGACATATCTGACAAAAAGTTTCTATTGGTTGACGAGCCATGCTAATTTTTACACTGAAAGTATATGTACTCACCGCTTATAGTCGAACAAATGAATAAAATCTAATAGTTATGATTATTCATACGTTTATGAAATAGAAGATATTATTTGAAGTTAGAAAAATTGTTGTGCCTTATTAAATACCTTTGTGCAGTGAGAAACTTGTTTTTTGCTTCTGCTCGCATCGGCACAGCACGGCAAAATACATTTGCGATGAAACAAACGAAAAAATCAAAACATCAATCATATAATGTACATTTACACTGTTTTGATGATTGCCAAGGACTTTGTTTTTCCATTAGCGTTATTGTTCACACTCGAAAGCCAAAACGAGAGTGAGAAACGGCGGCAATACTGCACATTTGTCGATGGTTACAATCAATTAGTTGAAATGATGAAACCAAACGAATACATATTCAACCGCATTCGTTCTTGCATGCAATGAGAGTTTTCGCGAGGAAACGTTATTTTTACGATCGGAAGTTCAATATTTTAGAGAACAATTTTCCTCTCTACATATATTTCTGCTGTGCCTAGTATATTAATATACGATAAGTTTGAAAAAAAAACTATTCTTTCCAAAATTATGCTGCACCAATAAAAATTGAAAATGATCGATCATTACCGTGTCTTGCTGAAATTTATCAATAGACCTCTTCATTCCCAAAACGCCACCCTATTTTCTGCAAAACGTGCATCAATGGTTTAGTCTTGAAAACGTGAGCTTGGGGGTGGGTGTCGCAGAAATGCATGAATACAAATACAATTTGTACTCTGGAAAGACTATAATGCTTCCTAAGCTAAAATTTCAGAATATGTACTGTGATGTACTCTCATGTATTCTTATCTACTGTCAAGCATCATCATGTACTGGGGGGAAAACCTAGAAATTGTAGAATTTGTACTCTCATGTATAGTAGTACATAACAACACATGAGAATATAAATTCTGCAAATTCTATGTTGGAGGGGGGGGGGGTCATGTTGTTTCCAGAGTACTACTTGTACTTGCATCTGCGCAGCCCTCACAAATAGACTTCAAGAAAGAAGTCTCATTCTTAAATTTGAAACAATGAATATTGTAATGAATATCCTAAAAAACTGATAGAAGTATTTTCAAATGCTAATATCAATTTCTGAATTGAGTCTTTTAATTTCTGAGATACTCAAAACAACTAAGTGTCCTTGAAAATTGCATTTTTCAACAAAAACGAGACGATGACTGACATATTCGAATAGAATATTATTGAATTTCTCTAGAAAAAGGATATAAATAGATGATCACATTGGTGAGCAAAGAAAAACTCAATGTAAAGCAGAAGGTCGACAAAAAATAAATGTGATGTGGACATTTAGTGTGAACCCTATTTCATCTATTTTTTCGACGGTTAAATTTTTCATGCTAATGAATGTATTGATGCAGCAAAAGTAGATGATTAGTATGTTAATAGTTCTTTTTCTCTATCATTCTAAATAAAGTTGAACAGTTAGAAGTTGATAATTTAAAAAAAGAAGTCAATCAAGTAAACCCAAAAGAATTTTTTTAAAGAATTCATTTTTTAAAAATCCAATACCAATCAACTAAATAAATTGATTATAATAATGAAAAATTAGTTTATATCTCTATTAATTCAAACAGATAATTCTGTTTCGTGTTTATTAATATACTTCATATCAAATAAAAGATTTCATTTATGTATTTCTTTTTTAAGCCATGACCGAAAATATTCATAATCATTTATTTACCATAGATAAACTTTTAAATTAGATAATTTTGGTAAATGATTTAATAAAAATAATAAATCATTTTCTTGATCAACATTTGAAGATATTTTGCAAAATTCTTCGAATTAATAACGAAATTTAAAAGAACAAGAACCATATATGTATATATCTATTTTTAATCGTTTTATTTAAATATTCGCATAACTCTTCATTATATCAAAATCTTTCTAAAGGTCGAATATTGATCATTATTGATATTCATTGTGGTAATCCTTGTAATATTCTTAATAGTACTGATGCGTCTTTTATTCTAAATTGGAATGAAATACCAACGTGCTTTAAATTAGATAAATTAATGATCTTCTTTTCAAAGATTTTATAACTTGTATTCCTAATCTAGATTTACAATATTGTTCTGAAGGAAGTATTGTTAATGAAGTAACATTTGCAAAATAATATTGACGTGTTTCTCTCATTGTTTCATGATATAATGGTCAATTTGTCACATTACTGAATATATTCACTAATTGATTCCAACATCTATGAGTATTTAATTCTAATTTATAGGAATTCAACATAAGGTATTGTATAAATAGATTCTGAATAATATGATTATTCATAATCAGTATACCAATACTATTTAAGTCAAAAATCATTTTGAAATTGAATAAATTTATCTAGAATATTATTATCATCATTATTTATATATACATATACAGTTGAATGCAAATTTGAAAATATCTAAATGAGGTAATAAAGATGTAATTAAATGTTCTTATTGATTGACATGAATCATATCTCACTCATACTTATTAGTTTTGGTAAATGTTTTGCTAATTTTTGGAAGTGTTCAAGTTTATATTCAAAATTAAATATAATCAATTCTTTCAAATGAACAACTTTATATGTATCAACATTTGAATAAAGAGTATACTTGTAGTATTAAAGGTAATATTAATTTCAATTTTCGTTGAATATTCCCTTCAACTTGAATCAATGTTAATGAATGATGATGAGAAAATTGTTGAAGCGAAAAATTTGCAAGACATACTTCGATTTGACGACATGTTTCTTTATTTAATAATACTAACAAATAAACTTGTTCTTTTACATCAATATTTAGCAATAAAAATTGACATAACCGATCAAATATTGATTTTTGAACAAGCTTAAAGTTAATATGTGATGAAATAGTTCATATAAGTTGATTAAAATGATCATTTAACTTATCAAATGAATAAAAAAAATATTAGGTTGATGCAAAATTAACGACCGTTTTTATTAGTGTCCTTCGAATCTTTATAATTAAGCATTTTGTCTCAATCTTTGTTTTTCAGATAAAATTCTTTACTTTTTTTTAATAATAATGCGTGTCGATAACCACGTTCATATACGTCATATCATGCTTTATCACTTCGAGAAAGGTCACACTGCTGCTGAAGCATTTCGTGATCTCAATGAACTCTTCGGTAAGGAACAATCGGTGAAAGACAAGTTCGAAGATGGTTTGAACGTTTCAAATCCGGCAACACAAGCTTAGAAGATGAAGAAGGAAGAGGTCGTCCGTCTCATTTTGATGATCAAGCTCTTTTGGAAGCGGTGGAGGAGGACGAAAGTTTGACGACACGGATGTTGGCCGAGGAATTCGACGTCGATCAGTCCACCATTGTTAGACGACTCAAAAAGCTCGGAAAAGTATGGAAATTGGCTGGATGGGTCCCACATAAACTCTCTGATGATGACAAAGCCGAGCGAGTCCGCATCTTCAGTCAATTGCTTCAGAGAAATGAGCAAAATCCATTTCTCCAATTCTTCGTCACCGGCGATGAGTCATGGTTACTCTTCAAAAACGTTAAGCGAAAGAAGGTGTGCGTTAACCGTGGCCAATCTCCAAAAAGCATTCCAAAAGACATTCACTGCAAGAAGGCCATGTGGTGTGTATGGTGGGACCGCTCCGGTATTATCCACTGGGAAATCATCACTCAAGTTCGCCAACAAAGTTTTTGTTACTGGTGGGACGACAACGATGTGAAGTATGAATGGCCAATTCCTGACAGAAATGGGAAAAAGCAGCACAACTTCAACAGCGACGTCTATCTGGCTCAACTCGATCGCTTGGAAGCCGCTATCAAAACCAAGCGTCCTCGCAAGAAGAATCACATCGTATTTCACCATGACAACGCCAGACCACATTTCGAACACTGAGTAATCCAATCAATCAAAGACAAAGGATGGGAACTGCTCGAGCACCCATCACATTCTCCCACTGAAGCTCCTACAGACTATCATGTCAATCGTTCGCTCAAAAATTGGCAAACGGGCAAAGTCTACGATGATTTGGACGATCTTGTCATTGATGTCAAAGCATGGATTGCATCCAAGGATTGTCACTTTTTTGCACGTGGAATTGATTATCTGCCAAGCAAATGGGAAGCAGTTATTGAAGTAGATGGTGATTATGCTCCAGAATGATCATTTAAACATGTTTAGAGTGTACTTTGATGTTCTATTGTTGAATAAACTTAGTATCAATAAAAACGGTCGTTAATTTTGCATCAACCTAATATTAAATATACTTAAAAATTCATACAATTTCATTAAAATTTCGCTTGGTCAGAATTCAAATATCATGACGGTACATGATTCAATCGTAATAAAAAGAATCAAATAATAACTAGAGTTCAGAGAAGAGATGACTATATCAGATAAAGCAAACTTTAGTGAATGAGCATAAACGATTAGTAACGAGTATAAATGAAAAAGGAAAAGAATAAAGAAGTTAGAAAGAATACACTCTGTGGAAGGCAATCCCATGGAGAATGAAGAAAACAAAGAGATTTATCGTATTCCTTGATGATAACTAATGTTTTTTTTTTAAATTGGATTGATGAACTAATTAGTTTCAAATCTTTTCAAAAGTCGCTTTGATCAAGTTGTTACATTTTAATTTTCGGATATGAAATTTCTTCATTTTCTTATTTCGATTTGAAGGCTATTTCTTCTCGGTTTCATTGAGGAAGGTTTCTTATCATATCTGACACGTGTATATATGAACTTGTCGGTCCCCTGAAAGTCATTTTCCTTAACGTAAGCTCTTATCTTATTTTTGCGTATTGATATTTCCAGTTAATCAAACTTCGCCGGACAATCATTTCACTTCATTTTGATATATTTTCAAAGTAACCTCAACTGATCGTGCTCATTCGAAAATCTTCGGTTCGACTTTCGTCTAGGCCATTTTAAAGTTTTCTTAATTGCTTATCTTTTACTCGTTCAAGATAGATCGAGTTTGAATAAGTATATGTTGAATTAGAGTATATAAAATGTGTAATTTCATTGAGATAAACTGAATCTGTTTTTCTTAATTCGATACAATCAAAACCTCCTTATTGCATAATTTTAGATATATTATGGAATGTAAGTTTCATGGCCAAATGTGCGACGGTAGAATTGACAAAACAACTTGATGCAAACTACGTCCTCCAATGCTTCTGGCACCGTAAACAATATTTTTCTATTGTTTTTTCTCCTCTGCTTTCTTTCTTGCATGCAACAGAACGAATATGGCGTATTCTTTTCTGTTTGCTCTACATCCAAACGCACTCGCTCGTTTCTTACGATTCCTGTTGTTGTATGCGGTTCCGTTTTTTTTTTGCAAATTGTAAGATAGCAAAAAACATGTGCTGAGTAAGTCCTTATTGTTTTTTTTCTTCTTCATTACAAGCTGAATTCCACATCATTTTCTGATTTCTTATTTTGCTTACTTTGTTTCATATTCATTAGACTTTGTTCTGTGTGAATTTGTTCTTTATCGATATGTCTGACAAGAAAAAGAAGACACAAAAACGGCAGGCGACTCGATCATCTTCACGAATCAATGCTAAAAAGAGACGAATCGAAGAAGAACTATTGTCATCCAAACAAGAAGACAAGCCGATATCGTCCACCATAGATCAATCATCAAAAGCAAATTCAAGTATATAATTACTACAGATTGTTGAAATTATGGACTGATTTTGATTTTAGAGAATAATGATCAGAATAAAACATATGTTGATCTCTGGCAGACATTGAATGATAAGTTATCATCATTTCCACGCTATCAAAACAAGAACCCTGGTGCGAGTGACGTTGATATTAAACATTTTGAGCAACATCATCGAATTCAATTGCCAGATGATGTCAAACAAGCCATACATATTCATGATGGTCGTGACAAAATTGACTATGGACTTTGTTTGCGTCTAGCATCGACAGATTTGCTTCCACTGAGTCAATGGGTTCCTTTCGAAGAGCGTGATTGGGCATCCGAATTATTTGAAGAGTTAAGTAACGATGGCTCGTGTGCTGTGAAATCATTGCAAGATGATGTTCAAGCTCATTTGGTTGCCTATCGAAAGAACAGCGATTTAAAAAAGAACAAAGCGTTTCATAGATTATCACCGGAATTAATCGTTATTGGCCAAGGAATGGATGATTATTGTGAGGTGAAAATTTCTTGATGATATTTATTTAATGATTAATTGTTGTATGTATTTCAGGAGTATCTATTAAGTGTTCGAACAGGTCGAATTTACCTTCAAATTCTCAATATACCTGAGTGGAAATTGCATGCGGAATCCATGGCTGAATGGTTAAGATTGAGTTCTGAACTTGTCGATAAGAATTTGAAACATGTTGAAGAATCTTACGATGATGACTAGTACTGAATATGTTTTTTTCTGCTATACTTTCTGTGTATTTTTATGAAACACTATTCATAATGAGTATTGAAGTGTGAAGCAATGCAGAAATTATTCTTTTAACAGAATAATGGCTTCCATAAAAATGCAGCTCTAATCTGCGTCGATAAGTGTTGAAAATACATGCACTTCTTCTTTCCAGGAAAGGTTTTTTCGAATCTAACACTAAACAGTAATACGATAATTCTCAAAGGAGAATATCCATGACCAGAAAGGGCACACAAGAGAACAGCTTTTGGATTCATCTGTCGTACATTCAAATGACATTGGCGACACGACAGATGAGCCTACGATGTATGAGTCTCCTACAGGTAGGTCTTGGGCAGAGAGTAAAGTACCGATATTATTTGATTCGATACATTTGAAAAAAGTATCATTAGATTGATTTTTATTCATTTAATTTTATTCGTAACTTTTGGTAAGAGATGAAAGGTAAGATAATCCTGTTAGGAGTATCGAAGTTGAGTGATCGATGAACCAATTAATGATCATATGAGATGGGTAAACTATGATTTAAGTTGGTAATATGAAATTGCATATATTGATCACGACAGGCCGAAATGGATTATCGAAATGAAGAGTATTTACATACAAATTGGTTTATTATTATTCGTTTTGTCCAGAGAATATAAATTGTAAAAACCATCGAAAGATAAAGATCAAATTCTTCTTGATGGCTTTTGTTATCGAGACGCATACAACAGTGAAACTATATCCTCAAGATATTCATATTGAGTGTATAGACCTATCACTTAATTTATAAATG